GTTTATAAATTTCTGAAAAGCTCTAAAAGTTATCCCCAATGTCTAAAAAGGAGCTGCAGGGCACAAAAATCCAGCAAGTCAGCTTCCCAGAGACAGAACCCTCACCTCTCACTTTTTCACTTGTCGGCTCAAGAAAGACAGTTGGGGTGAAAGGTGATAAGGCGTGTCCCTCTTATTCCCCAAAAGCACCTCAGCAGCACAGTGTGCCTTTGGACTCTTCGTCAGAGCAGGCGTCACTAGGTGCATAAACCAGACTTCAGTTAAAGCCGTTAATCCAGAGGGAAAATAACAACGATTGAATCCCATGACCCCTTTTCTGAGCAGAACTCTTTTTTTGTGCGGAAAATGAACGGTTTCCCTGAGGGTGAAGCACATAGGAGGGCCCAGATTTGAGTTCCGAATCCCCTAATGATCTCTTCAATGCTCTTTCTTTCCTGTGTGTTTTTCAGGTACTCTCCCCTGGGTATCGCCTGCCTAATCTGTGGGAAGATCATTGCCATCAAGGACTTAGAAGTGGTTGCTAGGCAACTGGGGATGTACATGGTCACCGTGATCGTGGGCCTCATCATCCACGGGGGCATCTTTCTCCCTTTGATTTACTTTCTGGTGACCAGGAAAAACCCGTTCTCCTTTTTTGCTGGCATTTTCCAAGCTTGGATCACTGCCCTGGGCACTGCTTCCAGGTAGAGAACATGAGAAATCACCTTTCTTTCTGCTTCGTCCTTTGCCCCATCGGCCACTTCCCGTTTCTCAAAATCCTCCCTTTTGCAAAGTTCAATGAGAACGCTTTTCACCAATTATTAAAATCCTTTAGGAAAGGTGAACACTTCAAATTTCTGACCTTTTTCTAGGAACCTCCATGCCTTCTGATGAACATTTTTGTTGCTGTGCAACTGAATTGGAAACATGATGTTATATTATATTTTTAAATGAATGCACACTATCGATTTGCATGCCTAACTTGCTACATAAATCATTGATTCAGTTTGGTTTTTACGTCTTTTCCAGAAGGGTGTTACAGGATGTTGTTCAATTAACATCCCACCTATGATTTAGAAAAATGATATAAAAAATTTTCACTCTTGAGAATTTTGGGAAAAATATTTTTCAAAAGGAGGAGGGCTTTTACAGGGTGAATGGTATATTAAGTGAGATTTTTCCAACAAAATGAGCCAAGCCTCAAAGCCAAGCTTTTGCCCTCAACATGAACCTTTAATGGGCCATTCCGCCCCAGCTTGATTTTTTTTTCTCAAAATCAAATTGACTTGATTTGACCTTGACATAGAGTCAGATCCTCCATGACCTCATGCCAGTGCCTAGGGAGCCAAGGAGCATCCCAAATATATGCAAGGAAAATAATTTTTTTAAATATCATCTTGGAGCCCAATTAGCAAAAGCAACACATAATAAAAAAAAATAAAGAAATATGAATACCTAAGAAATGCCTGGTTATTTAGAATTTCAAAGACTTAAAAGAGTTTTATTACTTCAGGATTCTACAGTTGTTTTATTTTTGCCTCTGTGTCCATAGGTCACAAAATTAAGTCTGAGATCATGAAACAGATGGCAGTGAGGCCAGCAAACTCTGAATCCCACAGCTTGAAGCCAGATCCTGGTCGCTAAGCCCACACACCACTGGTGAGGTGGCCCCTCTGTGACACAGGTGTGGCCAAGCTAACCTAAGGCTACTGAGCAGACCCTCAGTTTTTCCTGAAGTGACCTACCAGGCCCAAAGTGGTAACCACCTGGGAAGCCAAATCATATTTCCATCTTGCAAATCAATGAGAATTTGTTATTGACAGAACACAGGCTTTCATAAAAAGCTAAAATATATACATACCATCCTGGGGACGCAGATTCAGCATCCTATTTCCTAAGATGAAGGGAAACACTTTAAAATTTGCTTTTTTTTTACTTGGTTCTATAAATTATCTGTGGTTAAGTATCTCTATCTATCAAGACCCTCTCCCTTTAGAGGAAAAGTAAATCTTTTTTTTTTTCAAAACTAAAAACAACCTTACTCGATTTTATTTTTGATCACTAATTATGAGTGTGGTATTTGCTCATAGTGATAAAGTTCAGATAGTGAATAAAATTTTGAATAATATAATGAACATGACAAGTTAGTTTATTTTATCCCCAAGTGACAATTGCAAATAACTTTTTAGTTAATCTTTATAGTTACATATATCTGTCCAGTCTTACTATGTGTATGTATTGACTTGGAAACTGCTATTTTTCATTGATCAACATATAATAAAAAATTATGTTCATTCATAGATTTTTTTTTTACTACTATTTTGTAAAGTACTGTATGTACTATGGTACAAACTCCATCCCTTTCCACCCCCAGTAATATACATTTAAAGCCTATCTATTAAAGGGGGCTGTGACAAGAATCCTTGTAGGTATATCTCTGCAAGTTTATCTGATAACCTGCGGAAGACAAACTTCTAGAAGTGGAACTCCTGAGTCAAATGGTAGACATATTGACAGTTTTGAAACATATCACCCAATTGCAATTCAGAAAAGTACACTATTTTATGTTCGCCCTAACTAGAGTGAGCCCTTCCCTACCTACCTGGCAGGAAGGCCAGATATTCTGAATACGTATTAGTCACTTTAACACATTCCAGTCTCATTGGTGAAAAGCTATCTCATTGAATTTGTGTATCTTGGAGTACTAACAAGGGGAAACGTCTTTTCCAGTGCTTATTGATCCTTTTCCCTTCCCTGCCCACCCTGCACTACTCTCCCCACCTTTTGAATTGTATGTGAACCAGCTTGGTTTTTTTTTTTTTTTAAATCCTCTTTGCTCTGTTTTCAAGCTTTTTTCGTGTGTCCTGTGCCACATGTTGCAATGATGTCCCTCTCCACTTTGTCAAAAAAATTCACAGTGCTCTTTTGCCACCAAAAGTTTTAAATTTGACCCTTGTCAAAACTGTATAAACTTTAAGGAATTTCAGTTTTGCTCAGGCATATGTTTCTACTCACAATTTCAAAATATTACTTTCTGTTTTCTTCTAGTACCCTTATGATTTTTATCTTTAAATGGTTTCAAATATATATATATATATTTTTTTTCTTTTGAATGAGTAGACCATTATTCCAGTGCTTTTTAGAATGAGATAAATCAAGGCATATTCTCGTATTTAAATCAAAGATAAATGCTTGGACCGAGACTGCAAATATTACAATTATTTCTCCCTTTACCCCTGCATTTCATTTGAACAAAGCATATGGTTTTAACCTTCCCCTAAAAACATAATTTTTGCCTGGATGTGGAGCTTCCTTTTTGAAAAAGGCAATGTGGCAGGAATCACATAACAAAAATTAACTGAGAATTTCTTTGTCATAATGGCCACAAGGGAGATTAAAAAAAAATCCCAGGGATAGTCTGTTAAATATACTTTCTGCTTCTTTGGACCTTATTCTGAATGAGGACATTGAAAGTGGTTGATTTGCTCTTCTCGATGGGTACAGAGTCTAGTGACAAGGAAGACAGATGGAGGGGTGTGGCCCAGGTCAGACCTCTGTGCATCCCTGGGACTTCAGTGTATGTCATTAAAACTCATCTGGAAAACAGGAAGACTCTCCAGAATCTGATATTATTATTAGCAACATTTGAAGACAGTCTTATGGCCTTTGAGGCAGGAGCCAAAAAGCAGTGCCAGAATGCCAGCCTGTCAACACAGGAAAGCATTGACATTCTCAAGTCCTGGTTTGGATTGATTGGGTCTTTGTGGATTTTCAAGACAAAAATATAAAGTCTGTCCAGTGGAGAAATAGAGAATATTTTCATGCCTTACCAATATTTTTCCATTTTTTAAAATTGTCTAAAGACCCTTTGATGACATTTTGGGAAAATGAATAATAAATATTACGCAATAATAAAAATTAATATATTCCAGTGATCCAGAAGTTTGCTTAGGGCCATGTGATGGAGGATCCAGCTGCCAGCTATGACTGAGCAGCCCTTTTAGACCAGATATGGTGTCCTGGCAACCCTTTGAAACAGTCCCAGGAAATAATGGGGGGAAAAGGGTGAGAGAGATAAAGAGACACTAATTTCTCATTAAAACATCTGGGGCAGCAAGCCAGGTACAATGGCATCTTATGCATGCAAAACAACAGCAAAACAATGTTTCTACTGGGCTTATAATGTTTTAGTAACGGGATAACCCCCAGATATACATTTCTTTTTCTTATGATGAGGCATTATATAGATCTCTGACTTATAATCACAAAGGATGTTCTGGCAAGATGATTCTGAGCCCCCTAAGGTTATTATTATTAGCTTGTAAGTCTGT